ATAATTCGATATAGATTTTTGAATTTCTTTTTGTCTATATTCCTTGGGTGGTGCTAAAAGAGCACAGGGGTCTGGCCTCATATGGGAGCCTTGCGTTAAACTCTTTCTAGCAAAGAGAGACGTATGTTGTGCTATTGATTATTGTACCTTACCCTGTAAGTAAGTGAAAGTATAATAAATATAATAAAGCGTGATAACTATCTGCTCTTTTCAAAAAAAAAAACTTTATAATTAAATAAAAATTAATTGATAATAAACATGACATTATATTTTTTTTTTATATTTTAATTTACAATTAATTAAGATATTAAATTTTTAAAAAAATTTTTTTAAAAGTTTTATTATATACTGTATATAAATAAAAAATCCTAAAAAAAAAAATATGTGTTAATTAAATTAAATTAAAAAAAATGGTATTTTTATAAAAGAGTATACATGTAATAAAATATTAAAATTACTAAATAATATATAGTAAATAATTAGAAATGATATTTAATTTAAAATTATATTATTAATCCAATTTTTTTTAATAATAATATATTTTATAAAAATTATTAATAAACTTTTAAATAGTAAAGATTCAAAATATTTATTTATAAATTTTTACTATAAAATTTTCTTTAAGTTTTCTTATAATTTTATATATTTTAAAGATAAAAAAAAAATTTTTATTATAATACAAGTTCAAATTTTTAATATAAATTACAATATTATTTGTTTAAAATCAATATTTAAAAAGTTTATTAAAGATAAATAAATAATTTAAATTTTTTTTTCTTATAATATAAAATAAATACTGTTATAATATAATTTTTATTTTCTAATATTGTTAAAAAATTATTAAAAAAATAAACCATAAATATATTTTTATTAATTTGATAAACAAATTTGTCTATAAACATTTATAATTTAAGAAATGTATTTATTTATTGTATAATACTTTTTAAAAAAATTCTTAAATTAATATAAATATTTTTGATATTCAAATAGATAAATAACAAAATTTCAAATCAAATAATTATTTGAACTGGTTTATTTATCAAATGCTTAATAAATAAAAATCATTAGTTATAAATATAAAAAAAAATATATACGTAATATAATATTGCTTATATTTTCTTTTTATTTAATGATTTTTACAATATATTGTAATATGATTTATTTGTTAAGCTATTTAAATATTGTTTAAAAAATATAATAAAAATAATGAGACGAAAAATTTTATCAACTAATAGTTATTTATTATAATAATTATTATCTTCTATATTTTAATGTTTTTTCAACTGGATTTTTTTTATTATTATAATTGAAATATAAATATTAATTATAAATTTAAAATAGTTATTGCAATGTAAATCCCTTAATGGTTTGATGGTGCCATTTTAGTATTATTCGCGAACGTTCAGAAAACAATGGAACAATGCTGGAATAGAGCATTACAAGAGTTAAACGGTAATGGAGAAACTTTAGAAGGGTTGATAAACGTGACAAAAGTAAGCGTTAGCTTGTCGCGAAATGCTTTCTTGAGAAAACAGAGATTAAAAAAATTTTTTTCTTATATTTATTAGGCGTGGTCAGTAGTTACGAGTTGGTTAGATCCTAGACGCGCTGAAGTCAAAGAAAAAGAAGGTAATCTACGGTTCATCTTTATTGTTGTTGTGCTTCATGGGTTAACACGTTTAATAATGCACGTTCTTTAATCGTAGTACCCTCAGAAGTCAAAGAATGTTTTGAAATTCTTCGTCACACGCCATTGGCTAGACGGATAGTGGAATGGTATCTTGGTAATTTATTTTCTTTCATATAACATCTAGTTTATTCACTTTATGTATGATTCGTCTAATGATTTTGCAGTTGCGGTGCGCCAGGATATCTCGGAAAGATTTGATGAAAGGTCAAAAAAATGGCGCGAAGAGTGGGTGGCACGTAATTATATTAAAACCCGTGACTTTGTTTTTCATTATCGTTATTGTTTGAATTAGTATTGATATTTCAAATACATAATTATAAAGAGACTACGCGACAACGACGGGCTCACTGAGAATTCCGAAAAAGAACAAGAATTAGAGAATTGGATTAACGCGTCATACACGAAGATTGTCCACGATATTTACTCACATTATAAAACATGCGAAGAATCGTTTTTGCTTATGAATGCGAGGTTCGCACAAATTTCAGGTTTTTAATTTTTTTTTTTTTTCGCCGGATAATAAAAAACCTACTGTTTATCAAAATATAGCGCAGACATCATGCAACAATTCCGAATTCATTACCATACCAATATTTATTCATTATTGAGTGGCAAATCTCAACCGTATTCCGCTATTCCATCGTTATTTAAAGAAATGTCAAAAATATTTTATCGCCATCATTTTCGCAAATTTGAATCCTTGTTAGACCCAGATCAGTCCACTTCAGGCTTACTATTTTATCGAATAAACAAGCAGCAAGGAGAAAAATTAGAGCCAGAATTGTTTGCATGGAAGACGACAGATGATATAAGTGCTATATTTGCTAAGCAAGAAAATGATTTTTACAAAGTTGAAGAAAATTCTTTTTCAGCAATGGAACTCGATGATATGGAGGAATTTAATGTCAAATCTAATTTGCCGCAAGAAACCATCAGCCCAAGTTTGATTGAAGAGATGGATAATCGAATTAAAGAATTTTCAAGGTTATACGAAGAAATGCACACTCTGGACTTGATACAACGTACGAAAGATAAAATAGAAGAGATGTTGTGCGAGCAGATAGAACAGAGAATTTCATGCACATGCAAGGGTATTTTCAACAAGTCGGTGCTTCGACGCTCATCAAAATGGTTATATTCTGTCGTGTATCCTTGGCTACAAGTTGTGATTTCTTCCGATGTACTTGTACATTCAGTTTCCGAGGGTAGGTTCTTTATCTATGCAAATTTTAACTGTTCAAGTTTCTAATTGATGTCATTTTTTGATAAAAGATGATTTGGTAACCTGGATAAAACGATTCAACTATCATTTTTGCATGACATTTTGTGACTCAAGGTTTTTTATATGATGCTCAATAAATTCATCACATGTTCGGAGTTTACTTTTGGTGATCCTTCTTGTTACTTAATGATTACTAGCAAATTATTTAACTTGTTTTCCATAGGATTTCGGAACTATTTGACGTAATTGTTGATTTCCCCGATTCTAAGATTGCGATTGACGATTTAATTGTATGTATGATTTTTTGTCGGCTCCATAGCATTATCTAACTTTTTAATCATTCTTTTTCTCGAAAGTTGTGCATGAAGAGATTGGACTCGGAATATAGAAATCGTCTTATCAAGTCGTTGCAAAAAGCGTAAGTTTTATTTAAAACATTTCCATTCCTTCGTTTTTATATTTCCGGGTTTATACCATCAAAAATCTTTGACAGATTTCGGAAAAGATTACTCATTCCTGGAGCTAGCACAAATGACATAATTAACACCTACATATCAACCATAAAGTGCTTAAGATTATTGGATCCTTCTGGTGTATTATTAGAAAAAATAACAGGCCCCATTCGAAAATATTTACGGTACCCTTCGCAATCTAGTTAGCTTTTGCGTCGAAATTTTTCCATTTGCCTCCTGACCTGTTTAATGCTACGATAGAACTCGCTCGGACGCGACGCGATGTTTGGTGACATATTGGATGGACGATGAAAGTAATAACGAATTAGTTGAGGAGCTGGGACGCACTGATAATTCAGTAGAGGACCATATTAACAACGAAATAAATTTGTCCGATGATAATTGGGTGCCGGATCCGATGGATGCTGGGCCTGGTAGGTTCTTACATCAGTTATCTTTCTTTGGGCTCACTATATGATACTTATTTCACAATATGGAATTTAGAATATAAATCGTCTATTTATCGATCGGCGGATATTATTAGTTTACTCGTAAGCCTATTTGACGACATTGAGCTTATTACCAATGAAATCCAAAATCAGATGGCCACACTCTTGTTATCTAAAGTAGATTATGACACTGGAAGAGAGGTTCTTATCTGTAGTATTTTCTTTTATTTACTTATTTATTTGAAAAATTATAGAATGTGACATTTTTTGCACATTCTAGCAAACTAAGCTCGAGTTATTCAAGATTCGATTTGGAGAGTCAAAAATGGCGCCCACTGAAGTAATGGTTAAAGACATTGTTGATTCAAAAAGAATGGATGGCAATATATACAATGAAATGACTATCTTAAAAGCGGCCGGATTTGAAAGCGGTGCGAATGAGGTTGGTGCCTAGCACTTTAATGCGAATATTTTATTTTCTCTTTTTCTTTAGAAGATTAACATTTGTATTTTAGGCTATTTTGCATGGTTCAATAATTTCAAAGTTATTTTGGCCACCTTTGAAAACAGAAGAATTTGATGTTCCTGATCCCATTCTAAGGTATTCTCTTATATATCACTTTACATTTTCGAAACGAGTACATCTATAAAATGCTAAAATTTTACCTACGCGTGTGATAGAGATATGCAGAAATATGATAACGCATTTCGGATTTTGAAGCCCAGAAGAAAACTGCAATGGCTGTCGTCACCCGGGAAAGTTGTCATCGAGTTGGAATTGCAAGATCGCAATTTGGAATTTGAAGTTTTACCTGTACAAGCGACCATAATTTATCATTTTCAAGAACAAAGTTTGTTATTTTTTTTATTGTTTTATTTATTTTTGTTATTATAATTGATATTTTAATTTTCCTACTTCTAGATAAATGGGATTTGCGTTCTTTGGCTGATAAAATGAAAATAGAATCTACCAGTTTACGCAATAAAATGCAATTCTGGGTCAACCACGGGGTTTTAAAATTAATTGCTGAAGATGAATGGATTTTATTGGAAACTGCAGAAACGGTTGATAGCTCCAATGGTAACTATTCACATTATGCATAAATCAATGTGTTCGCTTATTTACATTTTTCGTATGATTAGATTTTGATCCCTCTGAGGAAACAACCATTAATTTTGTGGAAGAGCAAGAATCCGAAGAAACATCCGCTTGTTGGTCCTAACTTGTGCGATGCAAATTTGTTCTTGTTACCAATTAAATTAAGGATTCTAATGAAATTTTATTGATGTTTATCGATTAATGTTTTTGATAAACTCGACAGTGCTTTTTCTTGTAAGCTGTAAGGATTTGCCAATTAATGAAAAAAAAACCATTTGAAAATTACAATTACATGTAACTACTACAATAATAAAATAACATAAAATATAAAATATAATGTATGAGCAGATGAGTGATAATTAATGCATTAAGTAGGTTGTCAAAAAGGGTAACCGACTCACAACCTCGTTATTTTCGTATTCCTTTATCTGTGTATCATGTAAAGAAATCATATAAAGAAGTGATGTTAATAAAGGAAAGAGAGAGACTTCGAACTTGTATAAAAAAAAATTACCAATAATTCTCCATACTCCCGTAAACTTACCTGAGCCCCTGCCCGGAGGTCAAGGATTGCGCCGTGACCGTGTCGCCAACCCTGACCCCAACAATATATTTTATTATAGATGATTTGTAGGCATAAACGTTTGAAGAAACATTTTTTTTTTTAATTAATATTTTTTGTTTGAATAAACAATTAGCTCATTAAAATATAATATTATAAATTAAATCCTTGTTTTTTTAAAAAAAAAAAAAATTGTATACAATATACTGTATATTATTATTAGTCATATATCTTATCAATATCGTTTTAATATAATGTTATTTATATTAATATAAATGATAGAATCCAAAGGTGTGATGGATCTTAACAATTGAAAAAAAGTAATAACAAGTCAAACTAATATTTAGATCAAATTTTTTATTAATATCAAAAAAAAAAAAACTTTTTTACAACTATTTATGCAAAAATAATCAAATTTTAATAAATTATGTCTTTTATATTATATATTTTTTTATATTTTTTAAAGAGAATATAATAGTAATAATAATAATTCTTATTTAATGATAAATTGATTAATTAATAAACAATTATTAGATAGTATACGAACATCAATTTCACTATTAGCTATAGTATCTAGATAATCATTACACGTGAAATTTATTATCAACCAAAATTATATTCGCGTTCATCACGTTTATCACCGAGGTTATACCGTATTGAAAAGGAATATGGCGTCTATACTTGGCTCTGTTTAGAAGTTCGTTTTGAATGACCATTAAGATCTTTTCGAGGGGAAATCTCAGTAATTGCGTCAAATATACATTGTGCATTTCGAACAAATTTATTCAGTAAAAATTAATCAACACTACAATTTTATTATATGAATTAAATAAGTAACCACTATATTAGTATTAGTACTTGGTAATAATTTCCCGGAAATAATGATATTATATATTTATTCTACATAACGTAATTGATCGGTGAAGGGAAGTAAAAAAATTAGAGGCACCTAAAAATTTGATATAACTTTTTAGGCCATCTTGTTCTCGTCCTTTGACTCGGATAATTTTTCTGACTCAATCAAATTTTCACCGTTCTCCGACTCGGTTGACTTTTCAATTGTCAATTCCTCGCTGTTCTCTAACTTGGTTATATTTTCACCATTTTCCGATTCCGATTCGGTTACTTTTTCAATTTTTTCCGATTCAGTCAATTTCTCGTTGATCTCCGACTTGGACAAATCTTCACCGTTTTCCGACCCGGTCGATTTGTTATTATTCTCTGGCACGGTTGGTTTTTCATCGCTTATATACTCAGTCAATATAGTTTCGTCCGGGTTCTCGAGATCTTCCTTTTTCGCTGCTCGTCGACGAATAATCAACATGGCAATAATCACCACAATCCAATAAATAAAATATCCAAGGAACGTTCCAACCGTAGATTCGTTGTCCCATCCAAAAATTGCATGCATTATTTGCCAAAAATCATCATTCTCGGGGTCGCAGCAATTAAGAGACCATAATTGAATTCCTGGATGGTTGGTGGCTTCTTGAAATTCATCGATTGATGTAGTAAAAAGACCAGCAGCCATGAATAGCAAGAATATAGTAGTGCAGATAAGAAATATTCTAAGTGAAACCATGTGGGATCCTCGGAAGATAAGCCAGCCGATTATAAATCCTGTAAGAATACCAAGAATAATTGGGATGGGGAGGCCAGTAGCGGGTTTACCAAAACCAATCTATAAAACATAATAATCATTTTTCTCATAAAGGTTCGGATATAAGCTTCAGGTGACAAATGATCTTTCTATTTACCCCCGCCATAAATACAACGGACTCTAGGGCTTCACGACAGACGGTTGTAAAGGGCAAGAAAATCAAAGAAAATTTACTTCCTTTGTTGCTTTCTTGGAGGTAAGATTTAGTTGCGCCCAGTAGTTTTCTTTCCCATTTTTTTTTCCAGTGGGTAATTTTAATCATACTTAAAGCCATGATGGTTATAACTATTGAGGCGACAAGGCTGAATGCTCCCTCTATTTTTATTCGGGGGACAATAAATGAAAATTAAAAAGAGAATGCGCAAAGTGTTGAAGACTTTTGTTCCAAGTCTGTTGGAATAGATAATAAATATACCCCAAATTTTTTCGCTATCTTCCCATAGGTTTCTGGAGAGGGTGTAAAAAATGCCAATAAACGCCGCTCCAATAACTAGTGAAATGAATAAACCAGAAGCTGCACCGATCCATATTTGTTTTTTCATGCTAATTCGTAAATCTTGCTCGGGGACTAGTTTGTCAATGAAGCTCAGAAGCACCGAGAGAATAATCGTGGCCTCAAGCGTTTCACGCAAGAGGATGAAATAAGCAGGTACGTCAAATAAATAAACCATCTTGTTAATTATGTATTGTGAAGTATGTGTAGAATGAATCAGCCATTAAAACTTATAGCACCCATAGGGAAGCCTGGTGTTTCTCCCAAAACATGGCCTTTTTATAACTAGCCAGGGATCTCGAATCACGCAACAATAACATCAGACAAAACGCATGGTTAATTGGAATTAAACCAAGAAGGATATGCTAATAAGGCTTATCGCTTTTTTACGTTCACATGGCAGATGTTAAATGAAAACGTGAACGAAGATTTGCATATAAAATTTGTCGATGTATGAGAAAACAACAGATATAACTTTATTATTATCATTTTTGGATAAACTTCCGAGTGTCATTTGAAAAATGTTAAACCATAAATGAGTTTTTAGAATCTGGCATTGGGCTATGTTTAAAGAAGTTCTCTCTTTTCAAAGTAATGATCCATTCAAAGCTTAGAATGCTTGATTGACCGAAGACAATTGCTCTGATTTTTTAAAAAATTTATTATTATTATTATTACAGTGCCATCAAAATTTCCTTGTAGATATCGCTACATTTGATAAGGAAACAATGTATAAGCTTCTATAATTAGTATATTTGTACAGGGTATTTATGAAACCTAAAATTCGAATATTTACAAATTAGAGTCCGAGCTCCAGATTTGAGAATATGAAAAACAACTTTATTTTATTTTATTTTTTTTGTTTGTGTTTTATTTTGAGAAATGAGAAAGAAATGGGCAGAGTGATAGAGAATGGAAGAGGTAAATATGAAATGAAGAAACAGTGAAAGAAAGATAGAAACAGAAAGGTAAAGGGTAAATGGTGAAAAAAGAATAGGCAAAAAAGATTTTATTATATTATCATTTTTTTCAAGAGATAGAAATGAAAGGTAAAAGTAGTGGGAAGAAATTAAATAAATAATAAAAAATAGTAATTATAGTTGATTAAAAAGAAAAAATATGTATTGAAAAAAATTTTTTACAATCGATTTTTTTTGACTTCATCAAGATACAAAATTAATTTATATGTACAAATGGATGACACCACATTAGAAAAACATATAAATAAAAATTTAGATCATAATAACAAAACATTAGTTATATACAAAAGAGCTACATGTAATTAGATTAATTGTTATAAATTTTATATTATAAAAATTTTGGTAATTAATTAGTTTTAAAATTACTTTTGCTTGTTACTATAAATTAATAAAACATTTGTTTTTTGTTTAAATTATTATTAAAGAATAAAAAATTCAAAAATTTTTTATATACTTTAATAGGTTGCAAAAATAATTTAATAAATTTAAAATATCTTATTATAGAAAGACTTTAAAAAAAGATATTTCGGCAACCAAAATTATAAAAATTTTTGAAAAATCAAACAATTGTATTAAAAATTATATTAGATATCTAAAATCAATCAAAAATTAGAAAAATAAATAAGAGTTAAAAATTATTTGTAAATTAATAATTCAAATATTAAATTTTATTAAAAATAAAATTAATTTTGAAAATTTGAAAAATATCTAAATAACCAATTGCTATTAAATTCTTAACTAAGCTATATCTCAATTATTTTAAAATTTTTAAACAAAAATAATATTTATTCTTATATCACATAAAAAAAATCAATAATTAGTAAAATCAATTGTATTAAATAATTAAAATAAATTAAAACTTAAAAAATTAATTTAAAAAAAAAACTATAGAATAATCATTACGATTATTTAATTTCAATTCAATTAAAAATATATAAAAAAAATCAAGTGCTAAATTTATAAAAACAAAAAATTATAAATTGAATTTTAATTAAAAGAAATAATTATTATAAAGTAAAATAATATTTTATCTAAAAAAATTATAGAATTTATAAATACTATACTCAAATGTATCAATAAATATATTGAAAAAAAAAGAATTTGTAACTTATTAATAAATTTTTTATAAAGATAATAAATAATATAAATAAAATTAAATAATATAAATTTACAAAAAAAAAAAAAAACTCTTTCCCGTAAAACCATCAGTTCTTAAAAATTGCCTTTTTTGGTAATTTTAAGAACATTTC